ATGCCGCCGTGGGATCGCTTCAGGTCCTTGTGCAACCTCCAGTTCGGGCCGGCCGTGCGGAATACTTGTATCTCCGAGCTGGCGCGGCTGCCCTTCCTGTCGACGGTTCAGGAGTACTCGCAGCGCTTCAACGCGGTACTCTGCCACTCTCGGAACATCTCCGGACCTCAGAAGGCGGAGCTGTTCGTGGGTGGTCTCCCCGAGCACATCAAGGTGGATGTCGAGCTCCGCGATCCGCAGAATCTCCAGACGGCTATGTACCTCGCCCGGGCATTTGAACGTCGCGCCGCGGCGGTCGCTCCTCTGGTCCCTTCCCGGGGACCACGGCTGCAGCAGCGGCAGGTGCTGCTGCCACCGTCGCGCGCCCCTAGAGGAGGCCACGGGCAGGCCGGGGCTGCCGCGCAGGCCGCGCCCAACACCCAGCAGGCGCCCGCGGCTGGCGCTCGCCCTTTCCGTCGTCTCTCCCCGGCGGAGATGGCTGAACGTCGCCGGCAGGGCCTTTGCTTCAACTGTGACGAACCCTACGTCCGTGGCCATGTGTGCCCGCGGCTCTTCTACTTGGAGGCTGATGATTACATTGACGAGGACCTCCTGGCAGCCGACGCGGCGGCTGATGAGCCTCATCCGGCGGAGGAGGAACCAGCCGCCGAACCTACAGCAGCCAACGCCTTGGTGGTGTCCCTCCATGCGGTGGCCGGCATCCGCACGGAAAACACTATGCTGCTGCCGGTCTCCATCAAGGGCGTGCGCTTGCTAGCGCTTCTTGACACCGGCTCCACCCACAACTACCTTGAGTGCCACCATGCGCCGCTCGGGTCTTTGTGCCTCGGGGTGCTCATTCCCACAGAATCGCCGCCAACGGAGATCGACTTCCGCAGTGTGGGCATCGCGCGCAACGCCCCTCGTCGCCGGGTCCGAGTCCTTCGCCATCACGTGCGCCGGCCTCGACTTGGGGCTTCGACTTCATCCTCGGCGCCGACTTCACGAAGACCTTGGGTCCTCTCTGTGGGACTTCGAGGCGATGACGCTTATCGTTTCGGGCGCTGTGGCAAGGCGATCTTCCGGGCGCCACCGACGCTGGGCGTCGCGGCGCCACGCGCGGCGGCGGCGGGTCGTCTCCGAGCAGCCCTCGCTGGATCCGCTTCCTCAGAAGAAGACGCCGCCATCTTCGCCGAGCCTCGTGGCCTTCCGCCTCCCGCTCGCCATACGACCACCAGATCCATCTCTTCCGGGACGCCGCGCTTTGTGGCGAAGGCGCGTCAGACGGTACCCGCAGCCCGGAAATGATGAGCTGGAGCGCCGATGTCGCGATATGCTAGCTCGGGGATTATTCGCCCAAAGACGTCGCGGTTTTCAGCCCGGTCTTCGCTGGTCCGCAGGCGACACAATTCGTGGCGCTTTTCGCGATCGACTATCGCCCTCAACGCCAAGACGCCCAGGACAAGTTCCCGATCCGGTGGTGGACGAGCTGCTTGACGAGCTCCATGGGGCTCAATTCTTCACTAAGCTCGATCTGCGCTCGGGCTACCACCAGGTGCGCATGCACCCGGACGACATCGCCAAGACGGCGTTCCGCACCCACCACGGGCACTACGAGTTCCTGGTGATGCCCTTTGGCCTCTCCAATGCTCCGGCGACATTCCAGGCCCTGATGAATGACGTTCTCCGACCGCTCCTGCGAAGGTTTGTGCTCGTCTTCTTTGACGACATTCTGATCTACAGCTCATCGTGGGCGGAGCATCTGCAGCACATCGCCATCGTCCTCAACGCGCTGCGTGCTCACCGCCTGCACCTCAAGCGCTCGAAGTGCTCCTTCGGCGCGACGTCGGTGGCCTACCTTGGCCACGTCATCTCTGCTGCGGGCGTCGCTATGGACGCCGACAAGGTGGCTGCCGTCGCGGCGTGGCCCCCTCCGCGTGGCGCCCGGGCCCTCCGGGGGTTCCTGGGCCTCGCCGGCTACTACCGGAAATTCATCCGGGACTTCGGACTCATCGCTGCCCCGCTTACGCGTCTCTTGCGGCGAGACGCGTTTGTGTGGGACGCTGAGGCGGCGGAGGCGTTCCAGGCGCTCAAGCGCGCCCTCACTACCGGACCGGTCCTCCAAATGCCGGATTTCGACCAGTTGTTCATGGTGGACTGCGACGCTTCGGGCGTGGGGTTTGGTGCCGTCCTGCATCAGGGCGCCGGCCCCCTCGCTTTCTTCAGCCGGCCCTTCGCGGCTCGTCACTTAAAGCTAGCGGCGTATGAGCGCGAATTGATTGGTTTGGTGCAAGCGGTGCGCCATCGGCGGCCGCATTACTCCGGGTCGCTCATTTTCTCATCCGCGACCGACCATTACGGTTTGAAGTTTTTGTTGGACCAGCGTCATCGACGGTACCCAAAGACCAATGGATCACAAAAGTTGTTTGGGTTCGACTTCACCGTCGATCACCGCCTGGCCGGTGAACACGGTGGTCGACGCCTCGTCTCCGCCGCGACACCGAAGTCGATGGTCGACTTCGGCGGGAAGGGGCGCCAGGCGCGCGCCATCTCGGCCCCTCTTCGCCTTCATCGATGACATCGCCGCGATCGTGATTGGGCGGTGATGCATAGTCGCCGCAATGCTAGCTTGGCGGCCGGCGAAGCCGCAGCGCTTCTGGCGCCGGACGCCGGGTCGCTTCTCCACGGGCGCCAGATCTTCGTGCCCGACCACGGTGATCTGCGCCACGGTGCTCTCGTTGCCCACTCCATATTACGAGGGCGCCCGAAGACTCTCCACCGCTTTCGCTCCGACTTCTTCGTTTCCGCGATCGCACCTGGTGCAAGACGGGTCGCGGTCCGTGAGGTGTGTGCCGCAACAAGACGAGAGTCTCTACTTTCGCCGGCTGCTGCTGACCCTTGGAGGTGCCGCCCCAAGTGTGGGCGGACGCTCCATGGATTTCATCGAGGGCCTCCCAAGGTGGGCGGCAAGTCGGTCATCTTGGCGGTGGTGGATCGCTTCGGTATGCGCATTTCATTGCGTTGGGCCACCCATATACGGCCACCTCCGTCGCTCGGGCATTCTTCGACGGCATCGTCCGGTGCCAGTACGGGTTCCCACATCCATCGTCGCTGATCGGGATCCGGTGTTTACCGGGCATGTCTCGGCGTGATCTCTTCCGGATGGCGGGCGCAAGTTGCGCGCCAAGACGGCGTTCCACCCGCACCGATCGACGGCCATCCGAGGTGGTTAACAAGGTGATTGCTATGTACTTACTTGCGCGTGTTACAGGTGATCGGCCTCGCGCATGGGTGGATTGGCTCTCGTGGGCGGAGTATTGTTATAATACTTCCTTCCACACCGCCCTTCGCGCGTCGCCGTTCGAGGTCGTCTACGGCCGCCCGCCACCGCCCATGGTGCCGTACCAGCCGGGGACGGCGCGCACGGAGGTTGCTGACGCCCTCCTCCGTGGCCGCGACGAGATTCTCGCGGAGGTTCGTCAACGTCTACTACAGCCCAAAGCAGCTCGCTAAGCGGTACTACGACGCCGCCACCGCGATATCGAGTTCGCCGTCGACGATTGGGTCTGGCTGCGCCTACTTCACCGCACTACGCAGTCGCTGGACCCCCGCGCCAAGCACAAGCTCGGGCCGCGTTACGGGCCGTTCCGGGTCCTGGAACGCGTGGGCGCTGTTGCGTACCGCTTGGAGCTTCCTGAGGGTGCCCGGCTCCACAATGTCTTTCATGTGAGCCTCCTAAAGCGCCATCGGGGAGCCGCCAAGATCGCCAGGCTACGCCGAACGCCGATGGCCGGTTGTCTCCGAGAGCGGCTCGGGCGTTCTGGTAAAGAAATACCGTGGAGTCCGGCATGTGTTGATCAAGTGGCGTGGGCTTCCAACGCACGACGACGCTACTTGGGAGCCCTGGAGGATTTCCGTGTTCACTTCTCGACTTTCATTTCGAGGACGAGCTGTTTCTTGCAGCGGGAGAGATGTTATGACCGGCATGCATTATAGCCAAGCAAAAGGGTATTAGTGGCTAAGTCTAGATAATTTCTATAGAATCAGGGGTTATTTTCATATTTCAATAGACGAGATAAATACTTATGATCGGGGACTAATTTGGTAAGCGTAAACATATTATTGTTTCCGGCTTCTCAAGGAGCCGGAGAAACCCTAGCCGCCGAAGTTCTTTTTCTCCCGTGAACAGTACCGCGATACTGTAGCGCCTTCGTCGTGTTCCTCGCTTCTTCGCTATGCGACCAGCTGCAAGGACGGGCGCCAGAGAGCGTCGCCGAGCTCGTCCCCGATCTCTCACCCTTACAACCTCCGACCATTCGCCGGTAGGATCCGAAATCCTATCACTGTGACATAAGACATCATTGTTAGCTCCATTATTGGAGTGCTTATCATCTTGAACCTCCATGGTTAGTAACAATCATCACAGGTAGCCTCATAGCTGAGTATGTAAAATAATATTCAGTGTAGGAATAAAATAAGGTAGATTTGGACCAAAGGGCAGTCAGGTGCCGCATTCATAAGGTGAAGAAAAAGAGACATTTTGATGGTGCAGCGGTGCCTCATAATTGTACCTAGAGTATCAGAAAAGGGGGCATGAAACAAAGACAAACCTGATCTGGAGAGCCTGTGACATAAGACCATTGTTAGCTCCACTATTGGAGTGCTTATCTTCTTGAACCTCCATGGTTAGTAACAATCATCACTGGTAGCCTCATATCTGAGTATGTAAAATAATATTCAGTGTAGGAGAAAAATAAGGTAGATTTAGACCAAAGGGCAGTCAGGTGCAGCATTCATAAGGTGAAAAAAAAGTCAAGTAAAGGAAACATTTTGATGGTGCAGCGGTACCTCATAATTCTACCCAGAGTACTTTAAGAAAGCAGTAAAATCTGAACTTAATTGCAACAACTACATGCCTGCAACAAAGATACTTATACACATGTGCAGGGACAACGTGAACCTGAAAACGCATATCCATCTGAATATATCCATCTTCTCTGCCGAAATATCCATCTGAATATTCACCTGCACCTGCACCACACAATTGACACGGATTAGATTCACACGAACATCTGCAGCTCATTATATTTCCAAGACCAAAATTGCAACAGGAGAGCGAACAAAGGGAGTTAAATCTCTCAAATCGCTATCTCACCTCACCGCCGAGATAGCAGAGAGGTCGCTGGAGGAGGTGAGCACCGTGTCGTGGAAGGTGGACCTTCCTAGGACCCGCACCATGCTCGGATCCACCATGTGCTTCCCGCCTAGTATCTTCAGTATCGTCGTCTTGCCTACCACATGGAAAAACGAAGCCACCGCCGAGCTCGATCAAATCCGAGAGAAACAAAGGACAAGGTGGAAAGGCGTGTAGTGGGGGCGCGCTACGCCCGCCAGGACGCCGACTCACCGAGACGCCGCGACCGGGCCTGCCGCACCTTTGCGCGCCGTCACGCTGGGCCACCTGAGCTGGGGCTGCCCCGCCGGGATGCTGCGACGCCGCTATCGGGCCTCTGCGCGCCGTCGCGAGGCTATGCCGCCATGCTGGGCCTCCTCGCCGGGACGCCGCATGCCGCCGCCGCCGGATTCGGAGGCCTGCTCCCGGTTCCCCGAAACCCTAACCCTAGCCGCCGCCGCCACCGGTGGAGCCGGTGCAGGTGCCGTTGACGTGTGCTCGCTCCTGCGTTGCGCCCGCTGCCTCCGTTGACGTGTGCTCGGACCTTGGTTTCTAGTCCCGGGCTAGGCTGCAGCGGCCCAGGTGCATGGGCACGCTCGGTCCCGACGTAGGATGCGCGTGCGCGGCTGTAGGATGCTGGGTACCAAATAACTCACAACTCAGCAGTACTAAATAGGGTTGGCCTATATATATATACAGTTCTATTGCAGAGCATAAAAGCATGTTCCTATATACCAGTCTGGAGATAACTAGTTAAATAACATGCATCTTTGTGATCTTGGAAAGAGCTGGACATAACCAGTTATGACAGCAATAGCTAGAATGGCGAAAGGCGGGACAAGCACAAACGCCCCAACAGTCGCGAAGAACAACGAGTCATTCCGCCCACTGACCTGGGTAAGCAGGGCCTGCCTCTTGTTGTTCCTCCTCTGTGACACGGTGAGTTTGTTGAGGCTCTTCAGGCCTTCCTTCAGCTTCTTGCCCAGTGGGAGGGTGAACTCGTCGACCACCTTACCATTGTCTAGCGCTGACAATTGCTCACGGATAGTAGCAGCACGCTGACGCGGTTCTGTAGGCATGCCATTCTCTAGGCCTGACGAGCAGTTGTCGTGAGAGTTGATTTGGACCAGGTATGACAACAAAGTATTATAGTCTTGTGTGCAATATAAGCTTATCAGCAATGCCATCAGGTGTAGGGGACGTCAGTTGTTCCAGGAGGTCCAGCTGTGCACGGGCCGAAGAAACTTCAGAACACAACATGGTAACATTATTAGCCACTTCATTCAGTAAATCAAAACAGCAATTGTCATACTTGAAACATCTGGCATTAGTAAGTCGCAACAATAACTGCACTTCAAACATGTGTCACTTAGCTGATGTGTTTTGTTTCATCTCAAATATAGCTTTGCATAAATGAATTCATATTCGATGAGTAGCACAATCTCTACTCTTGGATTCACATTATTTTTTCAGTACATCGTCAATAGCAAAATCTCATATGCTTGAAACAAACATAAAAAAAAACTAGCAAGGTGACCCGCGCAAATAGCACAGTTAGCTAGGCTTTTTTTTTATTGTAGACATTAGATTTTTTACATTACTTTTTTTTAAAAAAAAATTGCTTATTTATTTGATGGTAATTGTTTTCTCTTGATGCTTCCCAAATACATCTATATGCATGAACTCCATACATCATCAACCAAATCTTTTGCTCAAAGATTCCCCCTCATCCTTTTTATTTCACTCATATCTAGTGCCCAAATGCAATTTTCACTATGGCGAGGTGCCGGTATTCTTCGGTTATTTGGTTAGCTCAATAAAATTGTTGCCTAAATCTCTAACGATATTTAATATTCTTTGGCCTCTTATAAATTTAAAATTTGATGTACCTAGCTCACATATTTGTAGTTGCCCAAACAGCAAGGAAGAAGGAAGGATTCAAAGACCATAATATTACGTTTATTATTATTTTTCTATGTTTATAAGAAAGATGGAAAGATACTCACGAAACGAAAAATAACATGCAAAATAGTCACGAAAAAAAGGATGGGAGATAGTTCGTAAAAAAGGAGAACATATTCTTTTCTTTTTTAATTAATCTCATAATTTTTAATGTTTATTAAAAAAATTGGAAGATACTAAAGAAACGAAAAACTAGTCATGGAATGGGAAAAAAACGGACGGGAGATAGTCTGTAGAAAGAAAAGGAAAAAACAGAAAATGAAAGAAAACTGGAAAAAAGTCACGGAAAGGGAAAAAAGGGGGAAAAGGTGAAACGGTTACGAAAAGGGAAAAAGGGAAAACATGCATAATTTTTTATGAACTTTTTGGTAAAATATAGACTGTTAGATCTTCATAATCCAATGGTGTCTTTTTTGATTAATCTCGAAATTTCTAGACCCTCTCGAGGAACGTCAGAGCTTCTTTTGATTCTGTTGTGTTATTAAATTATTAATATAATAGAAGTTATGATTCCTTACAATTGAAAGAAAACATATATCAAACATGTGATACAAACAAAACTGTACTTGCAGGCTTTCAGGCATTCACTTGCTTTCTCCAAAGGAAACAGAATTCATACTGAGGCAGTGGTGCACTCATATAAAAGTACACGTCGAGCATGGAAACACTTTTATCAAGTGTAAATTACCATATCTTGTGCAGATCATGCTAAGCAGGAAGCACGGATTACTACAATCAAACGACAAGTTGAGTGCAACAATGGGTTCCTGTGTAGCGCCTTCATGTCGCGCGGTCACCCTGCAACAACCGAGTCCGAGTGACCTCTGGGCGGGGGCGACGGAGGCTTTGAGGGGGACCCTGCCCTTCTTCACCCCCGCCGCCGCCGCGGCGTCCACGGCCTGGAGCCTCGTGGCGGAGGAGGAAGGGGAGAAGCTGCGCGCCATGGAATTGATAGGATCGAAGAATGTGTTCAGGCCGCTGCCGCAAGGGTGATTTGAAAAAATGGGATTTGAAACATCGGTCGTTTGACACGGCATCCATATTCATAGACACAGATGGATCCGCTTGTCATCCACCCGAGTGTCATTATAATCAAGAAGTCAATCTTTCGAGGGCGATTTGAAAAAATGGGACTCGAAACGAAAAAATAGGATTCAAAACATCGGTCGTTTGACACTGCATCCATATTCATAGACATAGATGGACCCGTTTGCCATCCACCCGAGTGTCATTATAATCAAGAAGTCAATCTTTCGAGGGCGATTTGAAAAAATGGGACTCGAAACATCGGTCGTTTGCAGATTTGACACTGGACCCACATTTATAGACACAGATGGACCCACTTGTCATCCACCCGAGTGTCATCATAATTAAGAAGTCAATCTTTCGAGTATCATTTTTGCAATTTTTTCATTTTTCGAGTGTCATTTTTGCAAATTTTTCGGCAAGGGGCGATTTGAAAAAATGGGACTCGAAACATCAGTCGTTTGACACTGGACCCACTTATTATCCACCCGAGTGTCATCATAATTAAGAAGTCAATCTTTCGAGTGTTATTTTTGCAATTTTTTCAGCAAGGGGCGATTTAAAAAAATGAGACTCGAAACATCGATCGTTTACAAATTTAATACTGGACCTGAAGAACGCTGAAGGGAGTAGAATAGAAAGAGTATTTAGTTCCTCGTGGGCTATATCGAATCAAATTCCCAATTTTTAGCGTCACCGGTGGCGCCGCCTGTCTCCGCCACAGAAACGCCCGTGGCCGGCGAGCGGAGGAGAGTTGGCACGGCCGCGGCGCACCACATGTTCGAGCTCCCCTTGGATCTAGCGGACGGCGGGGCCACAAAATATTTCTCTGGAACGACCACCGGCCTTCTCGATTGGATGCCTCGTGGGCCTAAAATCGACCGAAAAAAGTGCGGCCCAACTAATATTTGGTCGATCGCTCGTTCTCGGACGTCGGAAGCTACCAGCCCAGCCCATACCGACCTGGTTCGTTCCTCTCCCCTGCCGGCCGACGATCCCACCCCTGTGGCACGGCACCGCCGCGATGTCGTCGCCGGCAGCGACCGCGCCGTCCTCCTCGGGCGCGACGCAGCCCCAGCCCCAGCCCCGGCCCACGGAGCAGCAGGGAGGCTCGAGGGAGCGGCGGATGGAGTCGCTGGGGTGGCTGACGGAGTCAGCGGTGATGCCGAAGAAGCACAAGGCCATCGAGGGCGTCGGCGCCGCCTCCATCCTCGACCTCAAGGCCCAGCTCTACCGCACCCAGGAGGAGGCCCGGAACCCCACCGCCCCCGGCGCCGTCGCGGCCGCTGCTTCTGGTGGGGAGTTCCGCCGCGCAAAGATACGCTCCGCACCCACCGACCCCCTCGGGGCCAAGAACTCCGGCGTTGAATCCGGGCTCACAAGTATGTTTCGTTAGCTCTTTGTATCGATTTGCAGTCAGTTGGTGCAGATGTACCTTGACTATTTGATTGTAGTTTTGGGTTGAATTGATTAACCTGTGGCGTGCCTTGATTTAGGAATTCGATGCCCTAGACTAGATGGTATTATGAGAGCTTTGGTAAAGATGGGGAACAAATAGCTCCTTTCACGATTAAAACATATCCCTAATTTATATCTGTGATGTGAGGACTTTCGAACCGCCAAAAACAATAGTTGGTTGCATTTCGCAGTTTTTGCTTACCAAAGATTTTTATGTAGCCTATGTACAAAACTAAGAAAATAAGTATTTCTTCATATCAGTATTATATGTTACCTTGTAAACTTGTCTACTCCAATAGGATGGTCGAGGACTAATTATCCCTGATCACTCTGCAACATGATGATTTCAGGGAATGTGATTCACATTGTTTATTGAATGAGAAGTGAACACCTTTTAAGCATTTTCTTAGTAACAACCAACTCAAAAGAAAACAATGGAGCTGTTGTCAATGCTTATCCCAAACCACAGTCCAGTTTTTCTCTGGCAGTTTAGAATTTAAACTAACAAGAGATAGCATGAAGTACCTTTTCTTATATATAGAAAAAGAAATCTGATGTTGTTCTCTTCAGTTAACTGCTACCCTGGCCACAATTTTCTGTTACTTCACAGTTTAAGTATTTCCATTCCACATGAGTTGTGTTGTTTTTTTACTCTTTATACAGCATTTCCAGTTGCCATGGTTTCAATGTGTCTTCTGTTTTCAGCCTCACGCAGCCATAAGTCCTTTTTTCATGCTGTTGAGTTTTGAGTATTGACCAGAACTAAATGCGTCCTCTGCCATTGCACTTTGGGCACAGGGATAAGCTGGAGCTTAAAGCCGTGAAAGACGGTTCTGCGAGCTATGCTGCTCTAGAAAAGAAAGCAGAGTTGTATGAAAAATTATCCAGAGGTGAGCTACCTGATGAAGAAGACAAAGAGAAATACTGTGTGGATTTCTTCCAAAAAAGTTTCGATCGTGTCTATGAGCCTCAGATGTCAGAGAGTAGCCACAGAGCCACTGATGATGCAGAGGCAGTAAATGATCATGAAGATTCTATGCCTAATGCGAAACCGTTGGGCCTTGGCCGAGCAGGTACTACAATCGACAGAGATGAGCACAAGCGCTTTGTGAGGTACTGTTTTCTATGGGCACTGTCTGCGCTGACTCTTATCAAGTTATTTTGCATGAAGCACTTTTATTTTGCCCTTTATTATTTTATAGATGTAGAAATCAAAGTAATTTAGCTTTCTCTAGGACAGGTGAAGAATGAAATAAAAAATGGTACTATATTCCTAGCACCTGAGCATTTAGTGCATAGGCAGACAGCACGATGAATATGAATTGAGCTTTCATCATGAGCTATTGAGATTTTAGGTGTTGGGTTATTGTATACTAGTATGTTATGTGCAGCCCATTAGGGCACATGATACGGAGCAGCCCTAGTCTATAACAGGGCTAGCACATTTTTCATGCCGTGAGGTACTGTTCATGGTGTTCTTAGGATTAAATTTGTTATTTAAAGATAAGATTAGATTTAGTTGGTTCCTTGATTTAGGGATTGGTTTCTTAAAAGTCGAGTCACCCCATCCATATGAAGATGGGATTGTGGTTAATCAAGAAATATATGTAGACTTTATATCTCCCTCTCTATCCATGTCCTTGTGGTGCAGCTGCTGGGGATTGGCATAGTTTCACTGCTTGGGTTAAGGGCCATCTAAGTTATGTGCCCTTGGCATACTAACTTTTCTGTTCAGTCACTTCAGATTGATTTATTAGATACCTGGTTTGAAATCTCAAGCCAAAACAAACATGCATATCTATTGTTTGGTACTTCCTTATATCAGTTTCAGACAATATTTGTGACACGGTGAGATCACTGAACAGTGAACTTCATTGCCACTAGTGATATCAATATATCACTGAACCTCTTGATTTCAACACATTTTTCCTCTCTTTGTAATATACTATTGAACTTCTCGACTTCAACACCTTGATTTCTCTTGCAATATTATGTGCCCACTTATTAGTTTCTACAATGTCACAATGATGTGTGGTGACCTTTTGATTGACTTTCACGCTGCAGGGAAGTTCATGAGGAAGTAACTGAGGCAAGGCAGAAGGCTTCAACAGTAAGATCTCGACGACAAGAACAGGATGCTGCTCGTAGAGAGAAACTCAGGCAAGCTTACCTGAAGAAACGGTTGGAGAAGTTGATTGCCGAAAAACAGGCCTCTTCAGCTAGTGATGACCTACCCAGCTAGCTAGTATATGTGCTTGCATGTTCTTCCCAAGTAGCAGTCTAGCAGCTGTAATAGTCTGTGTTTTCATGCAATCATGGAACGGTTACTGTAAGTCTCTTTTGGTCCAGTACAGTCAAATTCAGGAAATAGCGTTTGCAAGTACAGTTGGTGTTGCAGAATATTGTCCGCAAATCTAGGCAATGGCATCATGATTTTCCGAGACATTCGCTAGACCATCAATCCATATTTCTTCAGCTTTATTCCCCGTCCCGTTCGCATCGCTGTCACTAATCCGGCTGATTTGTTGTGAGAAAAAAACACTTTTTCCAGCTGAAAGTACAGATTATAAGAGAACCGAACATGTATATGTTTGGCTATTGTAGAGGATATATTCCCGTTGTGTTTGGGGTGTCTCCATTTTAGATGGATGTTGTAGGCTCGCATAGTTGTCTTGGTTCTAGTCGTCTGAAAGTTGAAAATAACTCGCAGACGAGTGGAGAAAGAAGCAGGTTCTGTATTCCCTTGATTGGATAAAAAGTTCATTCGCCCTTTCTGTGATTCTTCTCCAACTTGCTCAAAGCAATTCTTGCTGGACTGCATGTCATGCCGCCTCCAAACTATTCCTCTTCGCTATTAAAGCCGAGAAGCAAAAACCGCGGACCGCGACGGCGCGACCTCACCGGAAAACAATGGCCAATGCACTGCCAGGCCAGAAAGCCGGCGAGGTCACGGCGACGCCGAATCCGTTCGAGTTCCATGTGTACGGCCCGCGACACCTGTCGTCCCCCAGCTGGTGGGATCTCCTCCGTTCAAGCTGGTCAGTTGCTCTCACGGTCTCACCTTCGTTTCTGCGAAGCGCACAACAAAAGCTCCGTGTCACTCTTTGCCTTGGGTTTTCTCAGGAAGGATCCCAACTACCGGCGCATGGTGATCGCGTGCTTCATCCAGGGGGTGTACCTGCTGGAGCTGGACCGGCAGGACAAGCGCGACGAGCGCACCGGCCTCGCGCCGCAGTGGTGGCGCCACTTCATGTACAGGCTCTCCCAGACACTCATCGACGAGCGCGACGGCTCCATCTACGGCGCCGTGCTCGAATGGGACCGCCGGGCCTTGCTAGCTGGCTACGCGCCGTTCCGCCCCGCCGGCGCGCCGGCCGCCGTCGTCGCGCTCCGCGGCACGCTGCTGAGTGGGGCCACGTTCCGGCGCGACGTCGTGGACGACCTCCGGTTCCTGGCCTGGGACAGCCTCAAGGGCTCCGTGCGGTTCGCCGGCGCGCTGGCCGCGCTGCGGTCCGCGGCGCGCAGGCACGGCGCGGGGAGCGTGTGCGTGGGCGGGCACTCGCTGGGCGCCGGGTTCGCGCTCCAGGTGGGCAAAGCGCTGGCCAAGGAAGGCGTGTTCGTGGAGTGCCACGTGTTCAACCCGCCGTCCGTGTCGCTGGCTACCAGCCTCAGGGGCTTCGCGGAGACGGCCGGCGAGATGTGGGGCCGCGTGCGCGCGTGGCTGCCCTACGTGGGCTCAGCAGCCGCCGCGGCGGACGCGAGCGGCGAGGCCAAGGAAGTGACGCTGGAACGCGCGGGGACGGCGAAGTGGCTGCCGCACCTGTACATCAACACCAACGACTACATCTGCTGCTACTACACCGACGCGGCGGCCCGGACGGCGACCGTGACGGCGAGAGGAGGAGGGAGCGGGAGCAGTAAGGCTGGAGGGGACGGTGGCATGGGCAAGCCGGGGCTGGCGAGGATGGTGACGGTGTCCAAGGGGCCGACCAAGTTCCTCGATGCGCACGGGCTGCAGCAGTGGTGGGCTGACGATGTGGAGCTGCAGGTGGCGCTCAACCACAGCAAATTCATCGACCGCCAGCTCAGGTCGCTCTATGCCGCGCAGGCGCAGCCGGTCTCGCCGCAAGTGAGCCTGTAGGCTGTGTGCCTGTGTAGTTGTGTAGCAGCTGAGAAATAAAAAAGCAACGCCGCCACTGCGGTTAGTCTGAATGTGTGATGCTGTTGATGGATCGGTCATTGGTACGTGATGCTCCGCTGAGCACACGGATGATGAGCGTTCCCAAATCCCAGGTCGATGTGAAAATTTTCGGATTCAAAACACAACACAATGGTTGTGGCAAATTTTAGTGAAAAGTTTCGTATCTCAGTTTATAAGATTCTATGTGTTGGGAACAATGTAGATGGATTTTATCTCTACGAAACTTATTTCATTCCATGAAACTTTCGTCAATTATTTCCTCATCTATTACATGTCATGTTAGCCTATTTAATACCATGAAACTTCCATTGAGACTCGACTAAATTTCATTCAAGCGCGCACGGTGCACAAAAGTAAAGTAAAGGCTGCGCTGATGTTTTGGGGAATGTAAATGGAGGATGAACATTGACTGGAGCCAAGCCAAAATATAGTAGTAGAAGGGAATTCAAATGGAGGATGAACATTGAAGGGAGACATGCCAAGATATAGTAGATAAAATGGGATTGCAAATGGAGGATGAACATGAACGAAAAGAAGAAATGGTGAATAAAAAAACGACTCCGTTGGGTATCATGCCAAAATACAGTAGAAAGAATAGGATTGTGAATGGAGGATGAACATTGGACGGAAAGAAGATATGGTGGATAAAAGTAGAAATGATGGGATTGTAAATGGAAGATGAACACTGAAAGACTCCGCGGGGGATCACGCCAAAATATAGTAGAAAAAATAGTATTGTGAATGGAGGATGAACATTGAACAAAAAGAAGAAATGGTGATAAAAGTAGAAAAAATGGGTTTGTGAATGCGGGATGAACGACATTGAACTAAAAGAAGAAATGGTGAATAAAAGTATTTTTTTTGAAGAGGGGGGAGGGGCGAAAAGTCCCCACCTGAATAATTTTCCACTGATACCGGCAAAGTCGGGAATGGAGGGTGCCGAGCACCTAATACAAGGGTGACCCTTCAGGTCAGAGTACATAACAAGTGTGAGAGAGAAGGATTACAACACTTAGAACAACATGATTTAGCTACTAGCTCAGCCTACTAACCGGAGCGAGTGCAACACTACTTTCTAACATATGCCACCACCGATGATAGACTCTGAAGAACTCAAAATCACATGCAGCTGTAAGGTATTGAGTGGGATCCAATAGACGACACTGTAAGGCATTAAGTCGGAGCCAACAGGCGGCAATTGTGAGTTGCATCGCCTATGAACGCATCTGGGTTCCAACTGACACCCACCAATGCCATTTGGGGGAAGAAAACATCAAAGGGGGGGGTCGTCAGAAGGAAAACGAGGAGATCCAGAGAAGGAGATCAAGGTCCCCGCAACCCAGCATATGATGAGGCGAAGCGCTCAAGTGATCTGGAGGACGACAGAGCAAGCCGTTGACAGCGAGCACCTGCTAGCAAGTGGTGGGTGCAAAAGCCAAGGGTAGCAGGGTAGCCAGACAAAAACACAATGGGGTGGGAGAGCAACCGAAGAGAGCACCAGGGTACGGCGGGCGCGGAAGGAAGTAGGCCTGCTTGTATCGATGCCTTCAAGAAGGAGAGTGACGTCCATAGACGCCACCATCGACAATCAGAGCACCACGCTCGAAGGGTTTTCGCCCCGAAACCAACTCAGCTGATGCATAAACTCCGAGAGGCTTTTGCGATAACATGAATTGAAAACTTTAACGACGCTTCCAAGGAGGGGTATGACACCATTTGCGTCAACGTCGCTGGTCTAGAACAACAACCAGACATGGTTTTCACCTATTGAAAAATGGGATTGTAAATGGAGGATGAACACTGAACAAATCCGCTGGGGATGACACCAAAATATATTAGTAGAAAAAATGGGATTGCGAATGGAGGATGAACGATGAACGAAAAAGAAGAAATGGTAAATCTGAATAAAAAAATAAAGCGACTCCGCTGGGGATCGAACCCAGAATCTCTGGTTCCGTAGACCAGCGCCTTATCCATTGGGCCACGGAGTCGTTGTTGAAGCAGTTCATTGACTCGTTTAAATGGTCCATGCAAACCCATCATACCAATTTAGCACATGCGACACAGCAGCTCAGATTTCTGGATAAATGAATTCGATATAAGTGTGCTTCGTATCAATATCTGGTAATCTAAGTAGTAGATTTGACAGTAGAGATGTCATTTGATTTACCTGTGATAAATTATTGCTTGGAGGACATTATTATACACAATCATACATACAACTTCATATTAAGCAATTTAACGAGCAGTTAGCATGAAACACAAATTATGTCCAGATGAGAACCACCGGTAATAGACTCGGTGTCATCCAAATACGTCAGTCAACCTCAACTACAGAAGATACATATCTGCATGAGCTGATGGTTCCAACTAGTAGTATCTAAAGATTCCATTACAAATCACAGCTCCATAATATACAGTTGATTGATTCATCCAGATACGGCGAACCATCAGGAATTTGGAACACATAAATATTCAGCTAATCAGCTCGTCGTAATCTGATTCCTCAGACATTTCTCTGCTTTCCTGCATGAGAATATGAACGAGGATTATGCTTTCACCCATACGAAAACAGGGGCTAGGGAGACTATCCAAGAGGGGGGAAAGTATAATATACACCTTTTTCTTGTTATATTCAATCATCGCCTTCTCAAATTCTGCACGTTTCTCAGTAGCTATATCATAATACTTGACCTTTTCCTGTGAAATGAATTAAGTGAAAACTATTGTTTTCTAGAAGTCAAATTTCATAACCATATGAATTAAGTGAAAACTATGATTTTTACTGACAGGCTTTGTTGTTGTTGTATATAGAAGGCAGAAGCACTCAGTATTTGTAATTTTAAAGAATCCATAGTTTATCTTTATATTCGCAGAAATCCTACTATTTTCGTTTTTCCAGTCATTTGCTAGCATGCACAGTAAGAGTAGCTAGAATGGCCTGTGGGCACCAAACCAAGGTTGAGTGAGATGTATTATACAGAAAATAGGGGTGAACATCCCGGTTTGTTCCAAAACGGCTGAAACCATTCAACCATACA